ATACATTTTGTCAATTTCGTGTTCTCTTGACAGGCAATCTAGGAATAGTCGAAACATTGATACCTGCTTAGCGCGCCCGGCTGACGACTTATATTATTATTTGGCAGTGAGACACGATAATAATACAATAAGAGTGCCTTACACCATACACGCTTATAGGCAAGCCCTCTCCAAATAAATATTAAGCTATCTTATATTTGATATTCACGAGAATAGCGATTAAGAATTAAACGTACTAGGCAAAACACAGCAGGACGTCAGAGAGGATACTTTGATTATATAATTCTTGATATTTCAAAAAAAAGGACAAATGCTATCTATGTTCTGTGATTTGTTTGTTTTTTTCTGATCAACAAGCTTTCTTTATAAATAAATAATCGTACAATTATAATCACCCCATTTACAATAGTTTTTGGTGACGACCGAAATGTAGTTCTCTGTGGATGGCCACGCACCACACATTTAGACCTCTAGATATTTCTCTACTAATGAACTGTATTTCACGGTGCTGAACGATGATAGTGTGAAAAGGCGGTAAAACCCATAGTAAGAAGAGCGGCTGTGCTTTCAAACCAAGCGTCACTTAACCCATAAGTATTATCATATGCACGTGTAACCGCACAGAGTTTCTCATTTGGATTTCTACGAATGTACTACTCCAGTCCACACCACAGACTCTACCATAACTTCCATTTAAGACCGCATATCTGCAGATATACACGTACGCACATACACGTATACTTGGGCGTCATAAAACTATTCGGTAACTCGAAAATACTTAAATACAGATGTCGTTGCGTCGTAATGCATTTAGACTGACGATTCGTGTCAGACCAAGACATGAAGGAATGAGCAAGAAGTTTTTCTTAGAGTTGTTTTAATAGTTTATTTTCCTAAAATGCTACCACTGATACCTTCATTTTGTCCGTTTCGCCGACGAGTGAGACCTGGCCGTGCGCAAGCTGAATGTCTAGATTAGCTTTTAGTACTAGAAAAAGACGAACAATTGTCAATTTATTATGAACATGAAGAAGAAGACCTGTACTAGAAAAGCAATCCATCTGCATCAGGATTTCGTTGCTTCAGTTTATTGTGTATACTATACAAAAACTCTTAGCTTTCAGCCAAACGAAGTCGTACTTAAACCAGTAGTTTATACATGAACCATAATCAGTTGGATAATAATGATCAAAATACAAAGTAATTAATATAACCAAAATACGTACATTCTCGATATTTCCTGCATTCATCTTTTAATCTCGTTCCCTTTCTCGTCATATTTTATCAAGCGCTTCTCCTAACTAATCGTATGATACAGCCTTCATGTACACACCTCAGTCATACAAGCATAAACATTCTCAATTTCAAACAGAACAAGGAGCCTGTACCAAAGTTGTACTTGATTTTAAACTCTCCTTGATTGCTTCACACAATTAGATACCTATACAGTTATACATCACCCTAATTATATTGAGAGACATTCTTTTAAACCCTTACTTCCTCCAACATTGCCTAGCGTTTTTTTCACTGGTTATTATTGTATAACATCTATCCACCACTAGAACATGTGTGGATGACTTTACCAGTAGGCCTCTTGGCCTGTAACAACAATACGAGGCTTTTTAAATAACACGTTTTTCCCACTCATTAAATAATAATTATATTTTGTAGATACTCACCAACAAAACAGGCCTTGCCCACAGAACGCATATAAACTGCTGCGCCGGTGCGTGATGTGTTACGTAACCGGATAGAGTTTAACTTCTGAATTCGCTATATATATGGAGCCGCTATAAAATTGACAGATTGAAGACCCGAATGCGCAGTGCGGTGTTTGAAAAATATATGTTGCACTACACAAACTATGCGCTCACCCGCTTTTAATTCAGACGAGTTATCCCTGGACGAAATTCTGGCGGGTCTATGAGAAGAACAGCACTCTCCAAGAGCTTACTTAGCAGTAGCGTTACATTGTTCTAGGTTTTTTTACTATTTGTGAACCATTTATACAAACAATTCATTCATTATATATATATATATATATATATATATATATATACACGGCGATTTTTGTGACTGCCGTACATTGGTTAGACAAGACGTTTACATTTTTCCTTCGAATATCGCCACTGCACGGTTCCGCGAGCCATACCTGCATATAACAAGCATTAAATTCTCGACTTGGGATCAGTCTAAGCGATAAAAGCCCGCGTTCAGAAAAAGTCAAGAGAAAAGCGTTTATGATTATCACGCACAGCGTTCGAGCTGACTGATAATTTGAGACAATCGATTCTCAGCAGTTCTGCTCTTATTGCGTCACGCAGATATATTCATGGCAACTTATATGAAGTTAGTTTCTGAACCTTCTATATTGTCACCAATGAACGATCACGGATGATGATGATGAACGCATTACACATTTAAGGTATGCTAGTTTTCCATTCTTTGCGATGACCTCTGCATTCCATTCTTCTACCTGTACTATGTCAATAAAATTCTCAACTACTAGAAATAACGAACAGCGATAAGCAGAGCAAATTAGTGGTGTCATATGGACTTGTTTTTTCCATCTATTCTACTCCACACATTTCCACCTTTCATTCCTGAAGCTTCGAAAACCTGAACCAAACCCAAATCTGAGCCCGGTCAACTCTTATTCAAAGCCTCGTGTGCTGTTATTTGGTTTCATTCACACCTTTTAGCGTTCGTTCATTTTCTGTCAGTTAGCTGTTTCAGTCCTCAACAACACTTTGCAGCACACGGCTTTCTCGACTGTTGGCTGACGGATTTAATCTACACTTGAAATTATATACCGGCTTATTTCAATACTAACATCACTGCATACATAGCGTGTTTCGGCCATTCCTCTCTTACTTTGCTTCTTTTCTTCGATAAAGGCGGAGGATCATCGTGAGAAGGGCTAGACATTTCAACAGGCCACTGAAATAACTAGAAAGACAGACGATAAAATTTGTTGATAGGTACTGATTTGACCTTTGCTGCCGCAGTTATCGTTTATGTTATTCGCTGTCGCAATTAGTGCTATTAGATCACCCGCTATTAGACATGCCATTAGAGCTCTACTTCATTTAAAAAAATTAGTTTGCATGATGCCATTAGTGCTTACAGTTTAGGCCATCTTTATAGGCGCCGTCAACAGCGCAGCAGTGAATATTTCAGTATTCATATTATCAACAAGAGTACTAGGACGCCATAAAATTTTACTTTCGTTCTGTAATAGAGTGGAAGGCCAATCAAATAAAATCACCCAGTACATTACGGCACTCCGCTTAGTAGTACGTTACATTTGAAATCAATGTAGCCAGTGTCGTCGTACTTCCAAGTGTACTTTGAAGGTGTAAAGATCCAGTTGAATTACAAACTATTCGAAATCCTCTTTGCCGCTTTGGCAGTAAGAACAGCAAAAATTGACCATAGCATACTCGCGATGGGATTTTATCTTCTACTACGAAGACACTTTTTTCGGTAGACGGGTCGCAAGTGGAATGTGTAATGACGTAAAATTTATAGTTTTGATGCCTTCGTGGTACTTGACTACAGGTGCCTCCATGGGTTACTGTACAACAATGTTTTGTTTACGAAATAAAAGGAGGGTAGACGAGTCTTGTATGATTCTAACAGGTGGTGACATACGATTTCAAAAAGGTCTGATATAACCCCACAAAGAGAATAGTGTCAAAAATGAACTGTTCTAATCGATTGGGCATCCACTGAACATGATTAACATATGCAATACGCTGGCAGCATTGCTTGTGATAATTATGCTAACAACATCAATAACCTAATAATAGAAATAATCGTAGATACTGTCGTTGTTGTTACGTCGTCAATTTGCGCGAATTACAGCAGACAGTTGCTGTTCACGTGCTTTTAACCTATTCTGAGCCGCACGCGTTATTTAACAACTATCTTAGCTGAGGCTTGTAACACTCCTTGCCGATGTCTTGTCGGACTACAATGAAAATTTCACGTTCTTTTGATTTTGCCTGGTCTCTTAAAAATTTGATAACATCTTCTTCGCCACCAATGCATACCGGCACATCGAGCTTTGAGTCGAGGTTGAAAAATAGCCCTGCTGGTTCGCCGCGTGGCCTCGACCCGGGGTAGAATTCACAAACGGGGTATGGCTCGGTGACAAGTTGACGTATTTCTCGTACCGCTACCCAATGCTTCCTGGATAGAGGGAACTGAAGAAAAGCTAACTTGAGCTCGTTAGGGACGTTAAGGATGAAACCTAGAATCTTTGCCAGGTCAATCATGGATGGATCTCTGTAATGCAGATGTACAAACCCGAGTGGCAAATTAGAAGAGCCAGGTCGAGTATATACACAATTGTGTCAAATGGACGTTTGCATGTAACAAATTCGTCATAGGAATAGCTCATGCTCAGATAGTGTTTTATCGAAGGGTCGATCAACGAGATTGAGTTGGATGTATTATCGTAGTACGAACGACAGCAGCTCTAAATGGTGTTAGGTCATTCTCTTTATTCACATACATTTTGCAGATCGATATAATCAGCTACGACAAATAACGGACCACGCAATCGCTTCTATATTAAATATTTCTTTAAAACAAAGGTTTTTCTTCTGTGTTACAACAATTACTTGTGTAAGACCAAGTTATTTTTCTTTATGTCATACATGCATGAGCGGTGAATACGTACTTCCTCTTATCGAACCAGATGGCTTCGAAACCTTTGCTTTGCAAGGCTGCCATGATAACGTTCACATCGTAATTTCCCAACCCCAGTACACTTTTGTGTGGGTTCACCAGATGATCCGGAGACAAACTGAAATGAACAAAAGTAATTCATTGTTCTGTTTTAGGCTTAATCCCTTACTTTTTTCCAAATTATCTTTAGATGTTTTAGTTATGATTCGTGCAATAGTGTCCTATTCCTAGGAGGCTGTGAGGTGCTACGTATTAACTTAATTACTCAGATTTACATCGCTTTGTATGTGTCTCAAACTTAAAAACACGTGGTTGTCTAAACACGCATTTAGGCGTAAACACACTTCGCTTCGTGCTATCGCCAGATGTCCAAAGCGATGCCTAACGGTTCAAGTGCCGGACGTGAAACGCGCGATTGACAGCGTTGCCATATCCGCCTCGAACCTGACCTATAAAGATATCACACAAATGTCTCTTTGGAATTCCGACGCATTTTACTATAAAGAGCTATATAAAATCTGAGCAACTTAGTATAAATTACGCAGTAGACAGGTTACCTGTGGCATATCTGGTCAAGCATATGCTTGTTGAACGCCTTTCCATCTTGAAATAGGTTATTTAACGCGTGCAAAGCGCACAGTTCTTTCAGTTGTCGCTCGTGGTACACCGGCGCACTCACCGCACCTGGCGTGGTCATCTGCTTCTTTCGTGAAACTAATCTGTAAGAGCCATAACGGTATATATGATATCGTCATCGTCGTTGTAAGTAATTAATAAAAGTCGTTTCATACGTAGCGCTAATCATCGTAGAAAACGTAGTCCGGCAACGAAATGTTTATAGGCTCGATCCGACGCGACTCACGGTTGAAGGTACATATTAGTCCTAGGATACAAAGCACGGCAATATATCATTTGATAACACCTCAAAGTGAAATATAATGTGCACAAGCTTTTTTGCTAGGCAATTGACGTAATCGATAAATACCAGCGGTAAACTATGCAAAATATAATGGTGGCCAGTTTAAAAAACATTGACATAGAAGCTTTGTTATTCTTGCCTGCTCAACTATAAGCCACCGCTACCCACCACCAAAGTAGAAACGGTAACTACAAATGCGAAATTTACGTATAAAAAAGACTGAGAAGGCTTTAGTTTCAAAAAAAGAAGAGAGCAAAAACAGCAATTTGTAACAGATTATTATTTTTCCATACTCGGTGCATATGAAGCAATTATAGGTGGGGTTTTCCCATAAGAAAATGTTCGTAGACTCCAAAATCTAACATAAGATTATTTATTTCCATTATTTATTGCAAATTTCGGATGAAATCCAATATTGTAGATATGCGGGTTTGTCTATAATACGTTAAATTACTTTTAAGCGAGTATCGAAAATAATTCAAGTATTCAAAAATTCAATTCGACAATTCAAAGAATTTTTTCGAGTTCTAAAATGTCTATGCAAAAAGCTTTCGCTTCGATATTGCTCACGACGATCAGCAACGTCTACGTCATCTAAAATTCATCTATAAATTTACTGTTATCTGATCACTTTACGTTCCTATTTACTGGAATATGTAAAGCACTATACTCAATTGAGAATTTCTCGATTAAACTCAGTATATCTGCTAACATCATCCACATCCGCAGTTTTGTCTTCACAAGTTGATCTTCTGCCTCTGTAGTAAATCACAAGCACGAGTTTTGGTTTTAAGATTCTGTTGAATAGATAGCCTCTCATCATGGAAGGAGCTACAGACCTGTCAACAAACTTCATAAGCGCCGATCGGGAATCCGCCCTCTCCAGAGAGGTTCCCCCGGGTATCTCGTTTCGGGTTTCCCTCATTTTTGTTTCAGCCGTCTGGCAGAAGAACGGTGCAGCTAAGCGCCGCTCGTTGAGGCGATTCTGCGACAATGCGCTATATGCGCTCGTTATTTATGAGGTATCGCCTGTGAAATGTTGATGAGACCAGCAAATACAAAAAGGTAAATAAGCATTGAGATTATTCTATCCCGCGATATTAGTTTGATTATCAATCAGTTAAACTTGAACGAAATAGGTTTTGTTCTTTGTCAGATAGCACTGTAACAATATATGGTAAAAGTTTGGCATACTGTTATTACGATATCCCTACACATAAATGTTGTTTATAGGAACGGTAGGGTAAACGATTCAATAAAAAAATCGCAGAATTAGATTCTTATTAATTGACATGCGCGTGGTAAAATGGCATTAAAACACAAGTTTTATTGCAATCTGCTCATCGGCCTTTCAAAGTAAAGGATTTTGCAAAACTAGTAATTTCTTATTTATTTAAATTTTCATGAGATATGTTACGAATGATTTCCAAGGATCCAAAGAAAAATAATGTTATTCTTATTTCAGTGCTGCGGTATTTTAAAGTGGGCTGTCAGTTCAGTAAGCCATTCAGATGAAAAAACGCTTGAATAGAATAGAAAGAACATTGTATTTTCGAGTGCAACTAATATTTCAAAATAAAAACTTGGCAGATAGCAGATGTTTTGTACTATATGAATCCTAAAAGAATAATATAAAGGGAAGCAGGCGGGAATAGCCTGCCCGTTATAGCATAATAGAATAGCAAATGTACCCGCGCATTAAGATGAAATGGTTTTCAAATGTGTACAATACGTATTCACAACTTTCTCGTACAACGAGTGTACTGTCAGGGCACGATAGTGTTACTGGCAGTGAAAGCAGATGTTCAATATTTTTAAACAACTTATAAAGGCGAGCTTCCTTTAAGGCTCGTTTGATTGATCTCATCACTAATATATTGACTGTGCTTTTAACTGCGTAAATGAGGTCAGGCAACTATTATAGACTATAAAGTTTATGAAATTTGATACAATCTATGCCGAAAATCTTCGAAAACATAGAGAGTGGTGCATCTGAGATGCGATATACAGTATATGATATGAACTGCGTTTTAAAGTTTAAGGTGGCTATGCATACTACAGGTTCTTGTACTTGAAAGTATCCAATACTGTAAACTAAAAATCCTATTTTTCAATATCCATTAAGCCTTTGCGAGAAATTCTCATCACATATTAATTATAGCAGGCAAAGTACCAAGTGAATGAAATTTCAAGAGATTCGAAGATCAGAGGTCTCAGGTAGCTAAAAAGTGTGCATTGTTTTTTGGTTTCAATAACTCACTAAAAGGTAAAAAGACCTATTTGATTAACAGTATTTGTAGATGTAAACTCGGACTTAATATCTCAAAGCCGTTTAGATATATTTCTGAAAAATGACTGGAAGTCGAAGATATTTCCTATTAGAATTATAATAACTCTTCTGTGTTTTTTACATGATCAGCACTAAAACAGTAATTTGTTTTTTCTATTTTTATCGCACGCCATTGAGCGCTGTCTGAAAAACCTTTGCTGTTTTCTTTTAGCAATTTCATCCTGGAACATGTTGTGAAAACAACGTAAAGCGACAGGATCATTCAACCGTTCGTATTACAAGACAGACAATATCAGCCTTTTCATGTTCATGAGTGCTTTTGTCGGGTATCACGTGAGTAATGGTGCTTCAGCGCGTGAGTGGAATCACATTCCACTTGAAGCCCGCCGGCATACAGTTTCAGTATTCCATATGGCGTTTATCTAACAACAATGACAACCACGGGAATATGAACGCAGGGCTTCTGTACGAAGAAACATTAGTCTTAAAAGAAGAGGCAGAATTCTTGGAAGTAAGCAAAACTAGATATGTTCTAATAGTGATGGGTGAGTTTTTGAATAACCTGATACTTACTGATAAGTCGAATAGAAATTATCTCACGCATATATTGCTTGCCAATAGGTTAGGTGATCTCTATAGTGACTTTTATTTGTTAAGGACCAATTGCTGAGCACAATGAAATAATTCACCGAAACGTAGTTACGCGAAGACTAGATAGTTAAGTTAGAATCTGTACAACTAAACTTCATGATAAGCGAACACCTGCATATACGTGGAGTGTATTCGGCCGTGCATTACCCTAGGTAATTAAGCGGGTGAATTAAACAAATGGAGCTGACAGCTTTTTGTTAGTGATTAAAATTTCCATTCGTTTGTCTTTCAAAAGACGAAAGAGATTAGGAGACGTGGAGAAACTAATACATACACAGTTCAAATATATATTCAATAGTCTCAAAACGGATGGGCGTCAATATATCAGATATCATTGAAACGATATTTAATTCCATCCTGCCTGCAATCATATATAAGTCTGTATAATGTGGCGTGATCCGTTGATACGCATATATTAAAAGTGTTTGACGGGTTAACCAGCCACCTCAATAGCATAATATTTTAAGTATAATATTTTAATATATATATTTTATTCTATTATTATTATTATTATTATATTTTAAGTATAATTATTTAAATGTGATAACGTAAAAAAGGCGAATGACCCCTAAGTACATAAAACATAATTACGAGGGACACCAAGAGAATATTTTCTGATTATTAATGCTAGTTACAATATACACGTGAATCAATATATACCAAGAAAATATAGCAGGTATCATAAAATCTGAAAAAAACAACTATTACATTCGACTCTTTAAATCCAGTCTTGTTCAAACGAGAGCAGCTATTGATTTCAAATCCTAGTTGTTGTTAAGTTAGCTAGTTAATAGTTCGTATTACTAGAGGCAAAAACAAGTACCTGAGATTAGATTATCCAAATAGTTCGTGCTAGAATTAAGTCGACGATAGAATGCTGAAGAATTTAGACGAGAAGTGACTATACTTCTGCATATCATGTAAAATGTCTATATATTCTCCGGTTTGAAAAGAAAAATTATTTACATATTGCTAGCAAGAAGAGCAAGTTTCAGGATCTCACTTAAGCATTGAACTAACATAACCGATATGTTACATACTCGATTCTTCGCATTTACACCTCTTGACTACAAAATTTCAGCCCTAACTTTCATGATTCTTGCTGGCATAGTTTGTTCATAGAACAGGCTATGAATGGAAACAACACAATACTAGTATTTTTTCATCTATAGCCAACATATCTATAATGGCATATGTCACATTATGCATAGCCATAACATTATGCATATTATGCACGTTTTTTTAATATAAATCATTATTACTATTATTATTATTATCATCACAACCATCATCATCGACAGTAGTAATACTAGCGTATTTATTAAATTTTGCACCATATCTGTGCTAATACTTATATTCAAAGCCCGTGATAACCTTCAAAAGTGGCGCCACTTATTACCTCACGCAGAACATGAAGTGCACGCGCAAAATGCGGATGAGCTATGTGCGAACCAGAAAACATTCGCGGGTACAAAATCACCAGATTCTCGGCCATATATGATCTTTGTGTGTTTCCTTCCAAGCGTCTCATAGAGATAGTGAAAAGGCAAAGCTTCTAGAAAAAGTGTAATGGACAAGCGAATTCCATTGCACAGTACGAACTAGCATTAATGATTTAGATCCATGAGTAATGAGCGGTGCGTTTCTATGGTAACCTAAAGCTTTGTTACTATGTTGCTACGTTACATTAAAATCAGGCAACACACATTGTTTTTTTGTTCTATTTCTTGTGGAGCTTACCAAATAATCCATCATGCTATAACATTTGTCTGAAAAACGTAGTACATGTTAGCGAGAAGCTACCCAGTAAAATAACAATTGTAACTTATTAGACAAACAAACTGTTGTGCAAAACGACAAACTGACAGGTGTAACGAACAGGACTAGCGCAACTAGAAGTAATAACACCTCGTAGAAGCCAGATAGTAATGTTCATCTTAAGAGAGTAATATCCTAAGCTTGTAGTTTTGTTTACCATCAGTGTCGAATGCGAAGTCACATAGCACAAAGCATCAAAATAGGTGAAGAAGCAACGAACTTTGCAGTTTCGTAATATTAACAATTTTAATTCGGGGAAAAACAATATGTATTATATAAATTAGATAGGATTTATTCTGGCATCCTTTATATTGCATCAAGAGAAGGAGGGAAGAAGGTTATTAATATATTTAGCAGATTTCAATAATTCCCAAAATGATCATATTAACAATCATAGTATCATGCGATTATTGTGCAAATAATATACTTTAAATTCTTCATGTAAGTATTTATCATCACACAACGTATTTGTTCGGGTCTCTGCTAGCGCTGTGTGTCTTCGCTGCGAAGTACTACATACGCACTACAGATGCATCATACATTTATATGTGCCACATTACCATACTAATACTTACCTAAATTGTATCAAGCAAACTCTCATATGAAAAATACAAACATCATACACAACAAAGCAACAAAGCTCTACATGCTAATTGAGTTCAATGAATATCTCAATTGAATTTGGAAGGATATAGTTTATCACTAATATTTGATTGACCTTGTTCAATGGCAGCTTTCATAAATAATAGAAAGTAAAGCATAGAGAGGAGGCAATAAGTGGTGAGAGTGAACAGGGTTAACGGTACATTTATTTTTCTACTTGTACCTGTCAGTCACATTAACCTACTAGCCGGATACATTTTACTGTAACTAAATATTTGAGTTTTACGTCCGGCATCGCCGTTTGACGTTTCATCAGACGCCTGGTTCTCAGCACGAAACGAGAACCGCATTTTTGCCTGAGTTCTAACCCAGGCCACATTGTGTCCCTTATGATTAGCAAGCGATCACGGCCACAGGATGGTGAAATAACATTACGCCATCGCGTGGACGTTGTACTGTAGTATAATTTTACCAAATACAAATGTTTCAACTTCTTACAATTTTTTTTTAAGAATAAACTATTGCATCCTACCATTAAATTATATAACAAAGTGGAGAAGCGAAGTACTACTTATAATTTTAATCTGTTTAGCGATATTTTTGATACAATTATAATACTATATA